TTGTGGCCATAAAGTTTCCAGGAGCAATTTCCCCTTGCAGACCAAATTCCAAGTGGAAAAAATTACGGTCCCGCCATCAAAATTCCCCTCACAATTACAACCTCCCATTAAACAAGTGGAAATCTGAATTCTTTTTAGGCTACAATTACAGCAGATTATTGTGCTTCCCTCTAATTACTGCACATAAACACATCCCATGTAACAGTTTATTGTACCCTGTTAGTGTACTTAAAATAAATAGAAACCAATATGCTTCATTCAGCCCATGTATTTTGACACTCACATCAGATATACCAATTTATCTTCATTACAACCCCTTGTGCTGTTACTGACATCCTTCTCGGAGCTATGCTCAAGCATCACAGCAGGAAGATTGATGAGGATTCTATGTACTGATTTGCAACAAAAGCAAGGCACTCAAGAGGCACCGTTACTATTCTGATAGCACTAAGTTGGCTAAAAATCAGCTGCACTAAGCCAACACTCTGCTCTCACTCCTCCCCCTCATTAATTATGGTACATGGCTCAGGCCTTGAAGGCCTCAGGCTGTTGCAACAGTATTTTAAACCCATTGTCTTCTGTTGCTTTTTCACTCTTGGAGATTTAAAGTTCCAACCATGCTTATTAGTGACTATTTTTATTCTTTAGAAAGGCTTAGAATAGACAAGTTTTTCACCATGACAAACATTAAAAGATAATTTCTGAATGAATCTACAGTTGTAAATTTAAACATAATTTGGAGGAACAGAGGGATACAGAGGGATAGTGTTGTGTTTCCCACAGATACTATGGATACTATTTTCAAAACTGGCTAAAATACTTTAGAGCCTGCACCACACATGCTCATCAAGGACAGACCACACAGTCTTTGCACTTTAAAAGCACTAATGTATATATCTTTATTAAGAGGATGAAGAGGTCACTTCTCACTACAGATCCTTATTCTCTCCAATCATAACCTTCCAAGATGTTGCTAGAATTGCACATTGAAGCCTGTAACTCTCTTGGCTCATTCTTTTGTTCAATGCAGGCTTTGCCCCAGCAACTCCCAGCCAAGTGAGCTCCCCATTAACAGATGTGTTTTGCAGAGGATTTCCATGTTGGAGGCACAAGTAACCCAGCATCTGCACCAGTGTGTTCTAAAAGCATTTGGAGTGAGAAAGCATGTGCTCAGAGCCACTCTCTGGGCTGAAGGCACAAGTCAATGAGCTGTAGCCTGGATTCAACAATCCTCTCAAGCTGCACGTGCATGCTGGAAAGCAAATCAGGAATTATTCATATTCTGGACATCTCAAAATCAGCCAACATAACACAAGGATGAAGATCCTGCATGAAATGGTTTACTTTTTAAAGCTTATCAGACTTCCATCTCTCCAGCAGCTGTTTGCATAAAATCACATAGTAAAATCACTGAAGTTTGTAAAGCTGTCAGACCAGGATTAGGAGGCATCTACAAAAAATGTGGGCAGAAAAAACAGCCAGACTATTTCTGTATTTTTCCATAGCTCAAACTCCACCAATATTCTCTACTTCTAGCTGCTTCTTTTTAGTAAATTAGCATAATACATGAGCAGACAGAGTTAAGTGTTAAAACACAAATTGTTAGAAGACAACCCATACCCAGAAGAAGAAAGAAATAAAAGAAGATAAGAAGGGGATGATGTGTTCAATTACTGAAGAAGAATAAAGACAGATCACCTGAAACCTGCAATTGCTCCTCACTGAGAAATATACTGCTATTTTCATTTACTTACAAAGCAAGCTGGTGACTCTCAGAATTACCTTTCTTGTTTTAGATGGATATTTAAATACTTCATCCCAACTACAGGATCTTTAACAAAGTCTGTGAAATAAAATATATTATTTTGGCTTGTTTCATGTGAGAAAGTCATCTAGTAGTCATTTTCCTCCCATTTCAGGCAGAACCATTTCATTTGTAAAAATCCACTAAAGCAGGAGACCATTCTGTATAAAATCCAGTGACGTTCAATTTAACTGAAGCAGAAAAATTCTACCTGATAACAAGCACTGAATAAAACTTTCAGCCTTGCAAGACATAAGAAATCTGTCAAAAAACCCCCCAAAAAACTCTCAACTTGGGAATTGAAAAAACATAATGACACAATCAATGAAGGATCTGGGAGAAGAAATCCACTTTTCTTTTTATTCCCCTTCCAAAAAGCCCCCCCCCCCAAAAAAAAAAAAACCTCAGGCTCATTTTCATCCCACCACGATGGAGCCTCATTTCTTACAGGTTATTTTTCTTGCCGTTATAAGAAAACCCAAGTAAAAGCCACTCCGAACAGGATGATTTCTATGGAAGGTATGAAAGAAAACCTGGGCACAACAGCCCCAAACAAAGTCACCCAAAAAACCCAGGAGATCTCAATTATTATAAATGAGATTCCATTTCTGATTTTCTGATGCATCTTTTAATTCAGGGTCTAGCCAAGTTTCTGTGTTCACTTTGGGACATTCTCTTTGGTAAGTGCAACAACCTGTAACAACAACCTTGGGTACTATTTAAAAAGTCATGTGTACACGTCTGGATATCCAGAGAAGATAATTAAGAAGGAAGGAAAAAAAGCTGCATGGCTGACCTGGGCTCAGTACTTACTTTACAGCTGACTTCTTGTGCACATATAAGAGAAGTCACTTAGATTCACCTTTCCTAAGCATGGCAGTCTTAAAAATCCACATGCAGTCATCGCTGGTAATCCATGTTTCCTCCAATATGGATAGGGACAGATGACTCCAGAAGTGTCACCCTAACCTATCACAGGTCTGGAGACCAGCAATGACATTACAAACAATTATAACAACTAACATTTGCCCTCTTATTTCACCTTGTTTTCCTAACAACTTTAATGAAAATAGTGGAATTTGGTCAGGAAGTGGTGGCTGGTTTGGGCATATCATCCTTGTTAAATTCAGGTGGGGAAAAGACAGGCTTATTAAAAATAATTAAAAAGATGTATCTAGGAAAGGTCTGTCAATGTCTCACACACAAACTGGGCAAAAGGGAGCAGGGGTTGCCAGGTCAAGCACTAATCGGAGCTTTTTAAAGAGCCAAGAGTACGGGAAGATGGGTATGAAATGGAGCTGAAAGCTAAATCCTCTACTGCTGGGGGACCACGGCTGTCTTGGCAATTAAGGTCTCCCCAGGGGGCTAATTACATGCAGAGACAGCAAGGCATTTTAGATGTTTTCTCAGTGTGCCACAAGAAGGCTCAGAGCTCTGCCAGCCTGGCCCTAGATCCCAGCAGTCTGTTTGCTCTGATCCCCAGGAACTCATGTCCCAGGAGGCAGTGATGGCCGACATTTCAGCTGCAGCTCCAAGGGTCCATATGGCCACTGGGGACACATCCCTGCCAGAGCTTCATTCCCTTTCCCACACTCTGCTTCCAGTTGGGTTTTACAACAGTGTGGTCCTCTCCCCAGTTCTCCAGGACTCCCCGCTCTGGTGTTTCTCTTCTGTAGCCTGCTCTCCACTCCCCATTGACAGTCCTTGGAGCACCACAGGACATTAATTTCCCTCTAGCACATCTTCAGTCCTCAAGATCTTCCAGATGGGTATTTTTTCAAATGAGAGAAAGTTCAGGGGAAAGAATATATTAACTTGTATTGATGACTAAAGCCTAATTCCTATAAGCAATTATTTTTTCTTTTTGCTATTAATAGTAACACTTTCCCATCTGTATGGGAATCCTCTGGCAAATATGAATTTGGCAGATTTCACTGAGGTCTCTGAGGCAGATACATAAATGCAAGAGATACATTTCAAAATCAATGTCAATTTCATTAATCTTGCAATCTTCTCTGACAGTATAAAATAGAAAGCTTGCATTGATTTGAACACATGATTACTTCACTAACCTTCCAACTTAATAAATCCTAAAAATGGGAAAATCCTTTTATTCCTCTCTATTTATTTATGACCTGGAATGCATGAGAATCTACAGTGAAGAATAAAGAAAAAAAACCAACAAACTTGTACAGGAATAAATGTTCTGCACTAACTAAAAAAACCCACAGGATTTCTAAGAAGCAAAAATAACCATGGAATATGCAAAAGTATATTTTACTCCATTTTGCTGCCAGATAGTGATCACATTGGGAACTATTTTGTCCAGATGTTTTTTAACTTGCATGGATTTGAAGAGAATTTCCTAAAATACATAGTAGGAATGATTGATTATGTGCGACAATATGGTTCTTTTTTCCTTGTACCAACACGAATCAGAATTCCTTATTTCACAAACAGACAAGAGAACAGAGTCCAGGATCTTCTACCCAAAGGAAAAAAACACAGCATGGTGTTCAGCAATGTGAAAGAAAACACATGTGGTAAAACCAGTAGTTTACAAGTATATCACTCCATATCCAACATATGTGAGCTACTTATAAAGAGAAACATTCATCTAAATTTAGGACAAGGGAATGGTTTAGACACTCTTTTTAGAGGACAATTTTTTACTGGAAAATTGTCATTGGTAGACCCCATAAGTGAAAGCTAATAATATATTCATTGATTCTGATGACGTAGTGAATGTGAGCAATGTCAAATTCTTCTTTCATTCAAAAGGATAGTTTGCATGTTAGATCTGAGATGCAAAACTTTAAATATCTTTAACCTGACTGAACATAGAATATTCCTGACAGGGCTGCGATGATTCTATGTATTTTATTTATGTTTTAAAATTTGCTCTGGATAATCTAAACTTCTGTCACAAATAAAATGTAGAGGTAACAATCAAACATTTAAATGAAGTAGAATAGAGATGGAAAGTAAGTGTTGTGCATATTTATTCAATTTCTTCTTGTGCTTGTGAATTTAAAAAATGCAGTATTTCTTCTGTATAATTAGGCAATTCCCAGCTTTCTGTGAGTCACTCATACATCGAAAGAAGGGAAATACCACTCTACTGGTACAGGAAGAAATTATTTTAAACTACAAAATTCAGTTAACCTTTCAACATATATTTTCCACCTAATCTTACCTCCAAAAAATGCTCTGCTTGCTGTTCCCGATCCAATTTTCTTGATGTTGTTGTAATCAGACCTGTGAAAAAAGGGTGATATTTGATTGTTAATATCCATTGAAAAATATGTCTCTATCGACAAGTAGAAATGAATTCATTTTTCAAATACTCAAAGGGAAAAAATCTATTTAAAGCTATATCACACACAGATCTCTTGACATCTGTCAAGCATTTTCTTTCACAGTGCAGCCATTATAACTTCCTGACTAACAATGAATCTGGAAGCAAAATGCTGTGAGAAAGGTAACTGAAAAAGTTAGCTGTGTATCTGCAGTTAACATGCTGCATTTTATTACAGTGAATTTAAAAAAAACAACCCACCTTACTAAAGAATCACTATTTGTCTCGTGATTAAGTGCTTCAATGAATCATTTGCATTTGACTGAAATCCTTCTGTAAAAAACCTCATTAAAGATTTCAGAGTTCTCCAACAATTAATGGGATAGGATGCTGATTACTTCCACACCAAGAATACTTGACAAAGAAGGTTATTTCTATAATAACTACTTGTATACATAATTATTTCCAAATATAATCATTCTAATGTATTAAAGGTTTGTATTACTATTTCATAAATTTGTTCTATGCTTAAATTGAGTCTTTAAAACAAAGTACCCTTTTACATGGGGATGATCAAGATGTCTTTTTTAAAGAAATGTACTTTCTCAAATTATTAACCCCTTGTGGGATTTATACCAAGAAAAGAAAATTAAACACTTCCGAAGTTCCTTTCAGAAAAGCAACATGTATCTTCTGTGAACAGAGCTTAGTACGAATTTTTTTTGCATTAGAGATTTAAAAGGCAGGTTTGAATTTTCCCTCCTACAACACCTTTCCTTGGATAGGAAAATACATCATGTGCTCATTTTGTGATAAATTCTAAAGATTGTAAAGGCATGAACTTGTCCTAGAGAAAAAGATGTCTATGGAGACAATGCCAGTGGACAAAGCAGTTCTCAAGAATGTCTCTCATCTGCAAGATTACCAAGGAAGACAGTAAACTAAATATTCCCATTGGTTAGCTTTATTACTTATGTATTTAATCACACCAGCCAAACATCTACACACAAACCCATTATGACGCTGGATCCTTCAAAAAAGGCAGCAGTGACATCTACATAACACCTCTAGCCCCAGAAAGCTTCTGCAGCTAGAGCTCCTCATCCAATGTCACCTTCTCTTTGGAGAAATCACTTCATTTACTCTGGTGAGAAGAGGGGAAATATCACTTGAAGGGATGGAATTAAATGAACAAAGCAAAGTCCACCGAGCTTCCAATATTTCAGACTCATTATGAGATTTATTAGACCCCAGAAGCAACACTCATGGGGAGGTTACAGAAACCACAGTGGTGCTTTATAATTATGTGGAAGAACCTGGTGCTAGCAAAAAGCTGAAAAAGCAAAACAAGTGGCATTGCATGCATCAAGGAAGTGTAAGTATTCAAACCAGTTACACCATATAGGGGGGCATCTACTGACTGCATGAGTTTAAACAAACATGACAGCACAGCTGACAAACCGATGTCATTCACACAAGATCCCTTCACGTCTAGAGACAATGCAAAGATTTAGGGAAAAAGCTCCTAATTATGAAAGAAGTTCAGCCCCCAAAAATAAAGTAAAAAATTCAAATTTGAAATATCTCTGTTCATCAATGCATGGTCGCTAGGGATATGTATCAAGCACAATCTAACCATGGTAAGGAATATGATCATTTTTTAATCATCTTTCGCTTTCTTCCTTCCTAATGTGCCATTATGAACTCCCACATACATCTTAAATAAGAAATGTCTAGCTGTAAATTACAGAAGGTCTCTGTCATCATCATCTTCTTCAGGCAGAGGAATTAATGTCTTTTGAAGAGCAAGAGTTAACATCTGAAACTGAGTATCACTGTCAGAATGGATAGTTTTTATCTTATATTGGACAAACTATACCACCACTACTACCACTACCACTACTACTACTACTGCAATTGATATCACTAAATATTTTTTTCTGTTTTCCTTTTCAATGTAGAGCCTTTTGGACTGCAATCATGGTCAAGAGTGCCTTCAGACCTGAATTTCTTTCTAAAGGAGGTGTATGAACATATGGCAAGTTTCTAGAACAGAACTGCCTATGCTGAAACAAAGTAGATCTTCACAAATTTAGCCTCCAGACTTAACAGCTGGTCTTTAAAGGAAAGGTTACCAGGCCATTTCCATCAGTTCTGCAGACCTCATCCTGAAGTGTGATGCTAGCCCAACTAGCAGTTTTTGCTTTCAAAGACAGCTCTACATATAACTGCCAGTTCTAGGAATTTTCATTAGATTGTTACAATGCTCTACAGAAATAATCAGTCATTGTGTGGGGTCTCTAGTTTCCATTCCTGTTCTCTGAGGGACTCTCCCATCTGACACTTTTGGTGACCCCATTGCAGCCTCCTGGCTGCTCACTTCCACATACATTCCTGAAGTCATGGATAGATCACACTACAAAACACTACTGTTTAAAATATGACTATACATAAAATCAGATCTCAACTACTTGATGTTATTGTTTATTTAATTATGGTCACATATTAGTATGGATGTGAATGTGGTCTTTTCATATTATAACTCTGTATTTCAAGGAATTCTGTTCAAGATCACTCATCGAAACTGAAAAAAAGAAATATATTCCAGTTATGTCTAAGGCTACCCACAGCTTTACCACTCCACTCTCAAATAATTTAATTTCATGGGTTTCATGAAAACCTTACTGTATCCCTCCCTCCTCCACTCAGTACTCCATGCCATAGACACATAAGAATAGCAGTCTATAGCAGGAGGTAGAACTTTATTTTTGAGATACAGGGGCAAATGAGACAAACATGGCTTTGCACAAGAGAATATATCCCAGTTTTAGTTCTTTTCTAACTGAATTAAATTGTCATACTATGTTAGGGTGGAACAGCATTTCCTAAAGGAAATAACACAGAGAAGAATAAATCCAAAGAAATGATGTTAGGCTGCACTGCTATTTATGATATAAAATCACAGGGGAACAATGACAAAAAATGACCCTTTCTTTTTTCACATCTTCAATATGTGCTGTAGCTCTTCTAGGCACAGCCATCTGGACCACTGTCCAAAGCCAGCTGGGAAATATAGCACACATTTATCACAAAATAGCCACAAACACTAACAAGCTTCAAAAGTCATAGCACACCTCTAAAATGGTTTCTCTTGAATTTCCCAGGAAACAACATGGTCCTGCTAAGAACAGGAGATACTTGTAACTGTGATGATTCTTTAAGCCATCAAAGTGAAGAGGAAAACTGGAACTAATAAAAAAGCTATTGACAGAAAACCATGAGCTCACAAGCAAGGTTATGTGAATCAGTTCCCAGAATTTCACACTTTTCGTTGACTTTGTGAGCTAAAACGTCTCTCTGTGCATCCTTGCACATCTGTTTCTTAGGCCATATAAATGAAAGAGGGCCAATGCCATCCTGGGGTGCATTAAGAGTGTGTCCAGCAGGTCAAGGAAGGTTCTTCTCCTCCTCCTCTTCATTGCCCTGGTGAGGCCTCACCTGGAGCACTGTGTGCAGTTCTGAGGTCCCCAATTCAAGAAGGACAAGGAACTACTGGAGAGAGCACAATACAGGGCCACTAAGTTGATTAAGGGACTGGACCATCTACCATATGAGGAAAGGCTAAGCGAGCTGGGTCTGTTCAGCTTAGAGAAAAGGAGGCTGTGGGGAGTGGTCTTAGAAATTTTTATAAACATCTAAAGTGTAGGTGTCGGGAGGATGGGGCCAGACTCTTTTCAGTGGTGTCCAGTGACAGAACAAGGGGTAATGGTCAAAAAATGGTAAACAGGAGATTTAACCTAAATATAAGAAAATACTTCTTTACTCTGAGGGTGACAGAGCACTGGAATAGGCTGCCCAAGGAGGTAATGGAATCTCCATTCCTGGAGACATTCAAAACCTGCCTGGACATGTTCCTGTGTCATCTGCTCTAGGGAATGCTTCTTTAGCAGGGGGGTTGGACTAGATGATCTCCAGAGATCCCTTCCAACTCCTACCATTCTGTGATTGTGATTCTGTGATTCTGTGAACTGTTTTGTGAGAAATATTCACAGTTCTTAGGTGAACTTGATGTTCATCAAAGTGAAGGTGACAACAGAACATGGGGAAAATAACACCAGAACTACACTATCTCAAATTGTCTTCTGAGGATCATGGACAAAAGAAATGCCCTAAATTATCAACCAGTCAGCCAGAGTAGACTATGCACATAAAGCTTAATGTATATGCTGTAAAAGTTAAGCACTCCTTTGTTTTTTTAACACTTTCTGCCTGGAAAACTCCAGGCATTTGCCACCTCTGTTCTTCCAGTTAGAAAGGGTGATGGCACCTGGACAAGTATCAACCTGCCTGCTGTCTTCAGTGCTTTAATTAGAGCAGCCAATTGCCAATTAGGATTTTCCAACTGAATAATCCACACTGTGCCTTCAGTTAGCTCCCTTGTTTTATAGAAGGGTCCTTGCAGAAATAAAATCTCTGTGTGTTTGTGTGTGCTTAAGTTGATAGACCATGCTATATAAATATATATTGTATATACAATCAAATACTGAGAAGTTATATTTATGCATGTGACATTTTACATATACCCAGTGAAGCAAATATTAAAAACTGCTAAAATATACATATTTACAGAGGCATATTTAGCTCTGAGGTTTACTGATGTTCATTCTTTTTATATACATGCATTATTTGAAGATTTGTGCTAGATACAAGTTAATTCATAGACTCAAGAGAGTCACGGAAGAAAAATTCACCAAGGGCTGTTAAATGCAAAGGCTGTGGTGGGGGAAATCTCTAAGCACTGGATTACTTGAACAATAGCCCACAGAGGGAAACATTACTGTGGGTTTGCTGCTTCTGATGCTTAATTCTCTATGTGACCAAATTAGCCCAGGGCTGTAGGTGTGACAGTGAACTAAACTGACCTTTGGCTTAGAAGAAATTCACATATTTTTCAATAGTG